TAGCATCATCCTGGTGAACAATAGAGGGGCCCCACTATAGCCTCGTCTGGTGATGATGAGGAGGAAGCCGGTACCAAGGGGTCCTCCGCAACCAAAGGTGGTTCGGTGGCTTGCTCACCCACTTCCTCCTGTGCCCGCAAGGTGCCTGCAGCCGAGGCCTCTTGAACTGGAGTGGGAGGTAGCTGATCTCTCCGGACCTCCGGATACCGAGTGAGTGGCCTGGGAGGGCTGAGTGAACCCCCATGGGTTCCATGGGTACCACCGTGCCAGCCACGGAGTCTGAGGCTGCGGTGCCATAGATGTAGTCTGCACCGTAGGTATCGGAGCTTGTCCCACAGCTAAGGAACCTCGCTCCGAACCTGAGCTAAAGTCAGAGTGGTTGCTCCCCTGCGACCAAGATGCTGCTGAGTGGTGGCTCTGTCCGGATCAGTACCGGTCGCTCCTCCCGGAGTTGGATCTGGCTGATCTTGACAAGCACCTGGATTGGGGCCTCGGTGACCGGCGATGTTCAGCTTGGCACGAAGCCACACATGGTGATGCCGCTCTGGGGGATCAGCGATGGTCTGGGGAACGGTACTGTCAGTCCCAAGACCGGTCTCTGGAGCGGTACCGGTGCTGCAGAGATTCCGGGCGCCAGCTCGAAACTCCTGCTGGGGAGCACATGCCTGCAAAAGTCTGCGCCTGGTTACTGGCAAGCTGCGCCTCGAGCCTCTCTGCCCTTGTCCGAGGTCCGGAGACTGGATGGGGCTGCAAAGCTTCTGCCTATCACTGTCAGAAGCGTGTCAGCTGCGAGAGGGCTACTGTTGGCAGGACGTCCCCCGCAACGGGGAGCGTTACCGTAGAGGTGCAGACTGTGCTGGTCCAAATGTGGGTTTACTCTCTGACCAGGACCCACAGGGGCCAGAGTGGATGGCACCAGGAAGGGCAATCTCTTGCGCCGCTTGCAGGGCCTCCGGCATGGACAGCACCCGGAGCTGGCGAGGACCTCCGTTGATATCTGGGGTAGCTGGCGGGGAGCAGGCTGGGCTACACCTTGGGTCCCAGCTCAGGTTGAGTGATCCCGAAGGGGGTGAAGAGGTGCCCAAGACGGGGCCTTAGTCCACTCCAGACTTGTCCTTTCCTTTGCGGGAAGCTGGAGACCATCCTCGCCCCATCTTCCTGGGCTTCTTGGCTTGAGCCATGAAAGGGGACCGGTGCCGCGCAGACAGTACCGGCGGGACACTGAGCACCGAGGCAAGGCCGGCTCCAGGCACCTGTGCAGCATGCAGGTGCCTGGGGTGGCCAAGGGGAAGGGGCGGCACGTTCGGGTCTTCGCTGGCAGCAATTCGGCGGCGGGTCCCTCAGTCCCTCTCGGAGGGAATGGCTTGCCGCCGAAGAATGAACGGCGGCGGTAAAGCTTAGTGCCGCCGATCATGGCTTTCCCTCCCCCTCCCCCCCCGCTTGGGGTGGCAAAAACGCTGGAGCCGGCCCTGCACCGAGGTCATGGTGCTTGGTGCCAAATTGGAGCATTACTCCGGCATCGGGGTAAGGGCAGACTCCATAAAGAGTGCTTTCAAGTCAATGTCCCTCTCCTTCTTCGTCCTGGGCTTGAAGGACTTGCAGATTCTGCACTTATCACTAATGTGACCTTGGGTGTCGCCCAAGCACCGTAAACAACTGTTATGTGGATTGCTAATGGGCATGGGCCTTTTACAGCAATCACAGGGCTTAAAGCCTGGGGACCGGAGATGCACCACCTGAGGCGAAGTCCCGTTTGGGACCTACTAAGTCTCTAACAAATAGGGAAACTAAAACTAGAGGGAAACTATATACAATAATATATAAGAGGTAAATGGGTTCGAACGAACGAGAAGCAACAGCACTAGCTGACAGGTTTCAGAGTAGCAGCCGTGTCGGCAACAGTTCTGTGCACCAGCACTGGCAGGAAGAAGGAACTGAGAGCGGAGGGGGCCAGTGGTACCCTATATGCTGTGGCATATGCGCACCACTCCAGGGGGCCCCAGAGCCAGTCCCCTACGGATACTGCTGAGGAAAAAACGTCCAGCTCCGGTGCATGTGGCGAGCATGCGCACCTAAGTTGAATGGACATGAGCAATCACTCGAAGAAGAACCAGGAATGCACAATGCAAAGTGTTTGAGATCACTTAAGTAAACAGCTTTGATCAAATATAGATTTCAGTGTGAACATGTAGTAATCACACCTAAATCCTAAAGTCAATTTAGCAGCATGTTTAATTTAATTAGTTATTCTGTGTGATAAATATTTATCAAGATTGTGGTTGTTAGTGTCTACCTCAAAACCCAGAGTGTTGATTAATGTGTTTTCACTACCCATAAGATGTCTCCAAAAATATTTACCATACCCAAAGCATATAGAGCTGCATGGCAAATGAGGTTTACTGTGCAATGTGATGCCACGTATCTTGGAAGCATAATGTTTGACAAACCTTTAATTAAGGGCATGTCAGTGATGTACCAATGGAAATCACTTCTTTCTTAGGGCCAAATGCTGTGGTCCTTAATTGAGCACAATTCTAAATGAAGTTAATGGGAGGTGTACTCAATTTAAATACCAGAGTCTTTAGCCCTGAGTGAGTAAAGGCCAGTACACTAGACTATCTGGCTGGTTTACAATGAAATTTTAACTAAGGTTGTTAATAAAATAATTTTTGGTTAACACAGTCACACAACATTTACTGATGACTAAAATGCTATGCAAACACTCCACAAAGAGGGATATGGTTGACTGGAAATATGTATCATTAGTTTACATACAGAGTGTAAACTTTTTTTTCATATAGAGTGCAATTCCTCTGCATGTCTGTATGTATCTTCTCTTATATCTTAACAATAGTGATTTATTTAACACTACTACCTACAGGCCCCAGCCAAGTTTGGGATCTTACTGTGTTTGACACTGTATTAACACATAGCAAGAGACGGCTCCCTACCCTGAAGAGCTTACAATCTAAAGAGAGAAGACGGAGAAGGGCTGGGAGGAGAAACAGAGGCATAAAGAGTGAAGCGATTTGCCCAAGGTCACAGAGAAGTCAGTGGCAGAACCCAGGTCTCCTGACTCCCAGGCCAGTACCCTAGCCACTAGCCAATGCTGCCTCCCTATTTCGGTATTCTTTCTATTACTTTTCTTTTTAAAAACTGTAAGTGAATTTAGTGCTGCTGAAAAGCATTGGATTGAAGAGACTTTCTGAAGCCTCTTATTTATCCACAAAAGGTACCATGTGGGCAGCTGCAAACAAGCTTCCGCCATGCCGCTTTGTCAAAGAGCATCAAAAGTGACCGGATGTCACCACCTCCAAGGGGAGAGGGTTCTTCATTTTCCCTAGTCCATTCAGGTCTCTCTTCTGTGACCATCAGGGGACAAACTGGTGTTGATTCTGATGGTGGTTTTTGCAAGGAGGGCTCATGTCTACTGGGATCTGGGGTCAGAAACCACCATTCATTTCACACACACCTCTAATTAGCCATCAGTTAGATTCACCACCGACCTGGACTAGAAGTGCAAGGTTCTATAATTCATTACCAAGTTCCTGAGCTGTCCTTCTCCTGCACTCTCAACCACTGTTGTAGTTTAACGGTACACACATATGAAGAGAACAGCCCCTGTGAACTATGTAACGGCAAATACAATGGTGAGAAAACTAGGGTCCTTAGTGATAAGGTCAGCATGTTCCAGCTCTCCCATTCACTGGCAGGCAGACTATTTGTTGATGGGGGAGATTTTCAAAGACACTGAGTTGGGTGCCTAAATGCCACGAGTGCCTCAGAAAAATGTCTCCCCCAACGTGAATAATTTATGCCATCTTTCCACCCCATCCCCTTTTACACACCCATAAGACAAATAAGGTTCAGTTCAGTTCAGGCTCATTTCCTCCATATTGTTAGAGAAGCAAGAAGTAGATGCTCTGCACTGCTGAGAGAGGCGGTAGGATGTATGCCGAGCACATACACAATTTGTTTGGTTGTGAAAGGCTGGTTCCTCCTAAGGCTCTGAGACTGTCAGAAACAACAGGCCAAATGCTGCACTCCAATACACTCAGTGAGACCATAGGGATTGCCAGGGTGGAACTGAGCAGATTTGGGCCCACTATCTGTTTAGATCTTCATTTCTGAAAGTGCCTTTTACTCCCTCCGAAGGCATGAAATGACCAATCTACTTAGCATCAAACGTACTGGGATTTGGGAAGGCAATACCACCAATGTGCAATTATGAGCAGGGAAGATCACCTGCAGAAACAGAAAGAAACCTGTACCCTTTCAAGCACAACTTTCAGAAGAGAGACCAGATGCTCTTATTGATGCAGGATATAAGGCTTGCGATCAAATGGCAGATATACAGCAATTAAAGCAGAAAACAACTGCTTCTATAGAGCAAGCCAACGCACCTTCCTGGATAGAACTATGTGAATGATTAGCACCTCATCTGGATCTATATCACATCTGGAAAAATGCTTTGGGCCTCTATTTCCCCCATGAGATGTGTCTGTCAAAAGCCCAGTGCTGTTAACCCTTTCGTTGCCACACGGCTATGATATTCGTTTGGCACCCTGGCGATCCACTGGGAACATCAGTGCGTTAAAGTGATGTACTTGGTACATGACACAGCACCGGAGTTGTGTTTGCCTCATGCACTGAGCTTGTAAGCAGCCATCAAATAGTTAATGTGTGTTACGAATATACATGAAGGAAGAACCACACCCTGCCACCCCTTAGTTAGATGCTGGTGTTAACTGAAGGCAAGATATACAGAGCAGCCATACATTTATTTCTGCAGCTGGCCACACGATGAGATGCGAGGGTATGAGTCAACAGCACAATCCCTTCCCTTAAACATGGACCAGATAGATGCAAGCACTTGGACTGAACAGCAGCAACAACAGCATTAAATAGTGTCAGTTACAAACGGTTTCAAAAGAGGACAGAAGCGTAGCTGACTTTGAATGATAGCGTATAATAGAATGGGTCGCTCATGAATTCATTACCTCTCCAAGACTCTGTCTCTCCTGTCTCTCCTCGTAGGCGGAAGTGTAGAATGGCTCATAAGTAATTAGGTCTGGACGTTCAATGTCATAAATGGCCTTGACTTTGGGAATAGCTGCTAAATCCTTGTAATCAAGGATCTCATTGTCTACTTTTGCCTGAAGGTCAAAGACAGAAGATAAATTAACATACACAAATGCACTAATAATTTCTATTTTATACAATTCATGCGTTGGGGGAATTTGCCTTCACAATGCACTTAAAGAAAACCCTTCTTGCCACTCCATTAACGTATGAAGTGACTGACTGTTCTTCAGCATCACGCCTCCTTTAATAGCACAGAATGATTTTTTTGAGAGTTTAGGCAAGAAGCAGCGTGATCTAAATAGACTGAACATAGGAGCTCATGGTTCCTAGTCCTCAAGTCAAAATCCCAGCTCTGCAAATGACTCACTGAATGGCCTTGGGCAAGTCACTTCACCTCTCTGCTTTGGCTTTTCCCCACCTGTAAAATGTGAATAAATAATACCGGCTTCCTAGCTCACACAGATATTGAGAGGATTGCATATGGCACCCTGAAGATGGAAAGCTGCTTCCCACCTTCATTACATTAGAAGAAAGAACATCCTAAAATGAAACAGAAGGCAAACAAGACTCCAGCTTGCAAAACACAGCAACAAAATGGTGCATGGTGTCTTCAGAACCACCTATCCCCTATCCCAACGTATCCCCTATCCCCACGTATCTACATTTTTATTTGGCACCCATCACCATAGTATCTGCAAGCCTGGCTAAGAGATGTTGATAAGATGTCAAACACTTTGACATCCATTCCACAGTGTGATTTCATGGCTAGTTTGCACCTGGAGGGCCAACCTTGGAAATAAGCTCCAAAGAGAGCTGCTCACTCCCAGGAAAGTGCTGTAAGGAGATGCACCAAACCGGCAAAGGAAAGCTGTCATTTGTTTTTATATTTCTTTGGTTAAAAGGAGAGTGTTGAGATTTAAAAAAAAAAACATTGCCAGTTCTTACCTGCATTATGGAAACACCTTGAATTATTGAAACTGAGTGAGATTTAAACATCTAGTTTCCTTTTCATCTCTTATGCTGTGTTTACACCTTTTGCATTTCACTAAGCTGAACAGTAAAATTAGATTGGTCAGTTTCTACTCAGATTCATTTCCACCCACGCTAAAGACTGACACACACATTTTCAGAGCTGTCTAGCATTTAGCCATCCATCTCTCATTATAATCCATTTGGCATGGCGGTTCCCATGCAATCCCTTGAGTTCGCGCTCACAAAATGCTGCATTTTAAAATTATTTGTTTAAAAAAAAATACTTTAAATGGTTAAACAATGATTTTTCCAAAAATTACCTGAAGCTTGTTTGACTGTAACAAAAATGACCTAAGCACTTTTAGCTCTTAAATACACACACTCACGCACGCACTAATGAGTTGAGAATGTGTCAGGACATTGTTAACGCAGTGCGAGGTAAAACAGACATTTTGATACCAATGTACAGCGGTAACACTGAATTGGCCTACGACTGCAGATAATAAGGAGTGAGTTTCATAAGCTGGCCTAAGGCGATGAAGCTGCACATGTCAGCATGCTGACAACACTCCAGATTTTGCTCTGTGGTTTCAAACCAGCACTGTATAACAGGTCTAATTTACTGGCTGCTCCTTCTACAGTGAAGTGCATGGCAAAACTAGCACTGCGTTGAATGGATACTGGATTGGACCCCTTAGTCAATTTTTCCACACACCCCGCACGCCACCAGTAGCTCTGTGCCCTGTATGTCTTAAAACACAGCATGCACCCTGTTATTCCCCTAGATATCCCTTTGACGCACATCCCTGTTTCTTAGGCTTGGAATATGAATAGCACAGATTAAGAAGATAGTCCCTTTTGGATGTAGGACTTCTCTAGCCAGAAAGAGGAAAGAGACATCTGCTGCACTCGGATACCTGGGTAAGTTCCAATTAGGAAAGATAAATAAAAACAGAGAAGGACTAACATTCCTTTAAAAATATTGGGACTTTCCTAGTTTGGTGATGATTTAATAGAGCTTTTCCATCTCTAATTTCTGGGATACTATGGTGGGAACATAAGGATCCACCGGGAAATCTATGTATCCAGCAAGATCATCTAAATTCCTGAAGAAAAGGGGTCCTTCAGGAAGGGGTTACAGGGCACTCGTACTATTCTGTGAATATAAACCCCATCAAAATAGAGTAGCATAGCAAAATTCTAGAGGATGGCCCCATATTTAGCACTGTAAAGGTAATAACAGATAGATGCTCAACACTTCTGTTTTTTTACAAGAAATTTTTCCCCATAGGACCAAATCTCTGTTCTAGTGGCAAGCTTTACTGGGCATAGCAGAACCTCCGTAAGTTCCAGGATTTAGGGCAATATGCCCCCAGGGGCTGCATGCTGAGAAGTACGGTAACTTCCTACATAACCAAATCCCAGTGTGGACACAGTTATACCAGAAAAATGATGCCTGATATCAGAATGGCTTATTTCACTTCCTAACTGGAATAAGCTATACTGGTAGAAGCACTTTTCTACTGGTGTAACTGCACCCACACTGGGGAGCAGGGGTTCCTGCTTTAACTATACTGGTATAACTGAAGTGGCAAATCTTTCTAGTGTAGACAAGCCCAAGATACAGGAAATGTCAGAGAAATGCCAAAGTACAGCAAAGCAAGTTACTATGCAACACTGCGAAATCCGAGCTGCTCTCCGCTGCACTGAATGGCTGTTGACAGAAGTCCACAGCCTTTTGTGGCTAACTATGAGCCTATCAGTGGATGTGTAAGCAATCAGGGGCTAGCTGTATAACCTATGAGAAGGGGTGGGGCTCATCTTATTTCTATAGGCCGTGGCCCTTTCCTCCAAATTGTCTTGTCCTAGCAGAACAGGCCCCTCTCATCTGGGACAAAGATGAATTTCCGTTATGTATGAATGAAACTGACCCTGCTTGGGCTGCCAGCGAGCTTTGGACCTGAGACCTCAGCACTTAAAGAACCTGGACTAAAGAAGTTTCTTAGGTGGAAGCAGAGCACACCTATAAACGTCTTATGCAGGCCAGCCACCAGAGGGAAGACAGATTCTCCTAGCATGGGTTACCTAGCAGCAGAGGGCCATGACACACTAGAAGGGGAATAAGGCTCTGAATTTGTCAGTTTTCACAAAGCCATCCGGTATGCCATTTACTACACCGGACAGCTGCATCAACTCTGGGGTAACAACTTCGGCACAGTGTAGCTTACAACTCTGCTACGCAAACATTCTGCCTGAGATTCCGCAAAGATGCCTATGGAACTAGTACATCCAATTCCCATTTGTTTTAATGGGAACTGGCCTTCTAAAATCCTTAGAGGGTATTGGAAATTCCAGCCTCTATCTCGTCATCAAGGGAGCAATGGCTTACAAATAGGAAATTATACTTACATAGATAGTATGGCCCGGTGAGCCAGGAATACTGGAACCTGGTCTGGAATAAATACTTTCAGATGATGTCCTTGTAGGCTGTAAAACAAATGTTCACTTGTAAGTGATCTGTCCGCAGGTGTAACACTAAGAATTTAGATTATTATTAAAAGGCAGAAAGATTCATTTGTCTTCAAATGAATTAAAAAGTTGAATAATATAAATGCAAACTCCAGCATTCCAGGACATTTCACAACCTTGTGATACAGGCATGGTTTCTCTTTTTTTGGGGGGGGGGGGGGTTGTGTGTGGGAAGAGGGAGTTTCTTAGTTTTAAGGCACACTGTGGGGAAAAAAAGATTGACAACAACAACAACAAACAAAAAAGAGCATCTCACCGAGGCATTGTAGGAGCACTCCAGGATATTCTTGTCAATGTCCCTATTGGAAAGCATTATTTGACAAATGGCAAAACCTCTCTCAGTTCCACTGGTGGGGAGCGAGATTCCAATCCTGCAGTATGCAAGTGGGCTGCACGGCAGCTTACCCACCTGCTATCGCTCACTGTATCGGGGCCTTAGTCACTGGAACTACATCGACGTAAATGAGTGCAGAATTGGGCCCAACACCGGACTGTAGAGGGACAGAAAACTCTCTCCCTTGGAATAGTTCACAATCCACGCAACACAATTTAGGTGCAATAGTTGCAGGTAAAATTCAGTCTGAAATTCCACTCTACAATGCCTCTGATGTTTAGTGCCACTGCTTGCAACTTGAATCCTGTGCAGTTACTTACACCAGTACAAAGTGAGTGCAACTATAAACTGAATGCAGCTCCTGGCACTTCATCAATATCCAAGTGACATTACCTCCATGTAGGGCAGTGTGGATAAAGAAATTCATTCAGTATCATCAGGTATCTGAGTTCAAACCTCCATAAATCAGAAACCCATTTATTGAGCCAAAAATCTCCCTGGTCTCCTTTTCGATGAGCCTGCTCTAAAAAAAAGCTATCAATGCTCTTCAATGTATGATAATTCCTCCTAAGTCTACGAAGCAGTATGCACATTGTTAAAGGTGTTAGAGTAAATTGTCCTGAACTAAAAATTAACATACCAGGAGCCTGATCCAAAGCCCATTGAAAACAATGGAAATTCTCCCACTGAAATTGGTGCGTTCTAGATGAGGCCCAAGATTTCTCTTTGAAGAAATCAAAGCCCACATTGCCTCCTCATGAAAAATCAAAAATCTACAACAATATTCTCAAACCAGATGCAAAGTAAAGGAGCTCTCTAAAGCATGAAGCAACTTGCTGGCCGGTGGGTGATTCTGGATGAGTGCAGTGGGATATTTTACTCTAATGCCGCTGAACAATTAAACTCTTGATAAACTTGTTCTTGTCACTTGTTGGTTGTGACACAGAACCAAAGGAGCAGTGATTGCCCACTGGAGAGAGAAACGAAACCGACTCACAGATCTCATACAGGAAATATCTGCCCAGTGCGGCTCTCTTATCTCTCAGCAGATATTTCCTGAAAGGGGCCTTCAGCTAAGTAGCAGCCACTTCCCCTGGGTCCTTTTAGCTTTTACTTTATAGTGAGCAAACTAATGGGGCACCATTAAAAAACAGGCAGAATAGAGTATTCCTCAGCTCACACCTGATTTGAGATGTGTTTTAGGAATCCCAGCAAAGAAACTCATACATTTAGGGACACTGGGGGAATCAAGTACTTGGAACAGGTACCAAGAAAATTAAGGAGTTAGATCAAATGCAGCAGTCTACAATGGAGAGCAGATGAGGACACTGAGGGATACCTCCCTCCCTCCTTCTCTCTCTCCCTCCCCCCCTAGCAAATCTGAGCATATTTTTTTCAGCTGGACCATGGGCCCTCTCAATAGCTACAAAATTCCATATTGCAGGAAGATGCCCCAGCTGCCCTTCTGCTCCTCCCATAACGTAACCAAGAGAAAAATTATTTACATTAGCCAAAAAAACCCAAAACTGCAAAAATCCCAAAACCAAAAACAAACTCCCAAAACACCAAGAATTAAATGGGAAAATCAGGCTGTTAATGAGAAACATTTTATTCCCTTTAAAATTCTGACATTTCATACTGCTGCTTGAGTGGAGTCATATGGTCATATGTAGCAAGTTGTTGCAGTTGCCATGGTAAGCGATTGTTATTATTACAAATCACAAGGAACAAGGTTAAATAGCAGAGGTGCAATTCTGGGCATCTTCCTCATTACTCACCTTCTGGTTTTGGCCAAAGATTTGTCTTTTTGATTTATTTTTTCTAATAAGTACAAACAGATTGTGAGTTTCAGAGAGAAACTACAGCCTTCTCTTTTCCTCTCTCTATCCCCATACATTCTTTGGAATGTAACAGACAGACAGAAGTTTGTACAACAAGGGAAAGGGGCTTTCATAATTACTGTAGGGAATCAGAAGTTGCCAGGAAACAGCCACTTAGACCTAGTGTTATTCTCTTGCAATGTTTCTAAGTCTCATCTCCCTGTTTGGTCCCTAAAAATACATTCTGTGATCAGCTAATTCACTTTATACTAATTGGCCCGTCCTATTGAGCACCTTGCTCCATGGTATTTTTTCATACCAAGTGTAGTTAGTGCAGCCTGCTTTCCAAGTTTAGGCCCCAGTCCTGCAAACATGTACACAGGTGCTTAACTTTAAGCACAGGAGTTACTGCACTGGAGTCAATGGCAGAACTAAGTGCCGAAAGTTAATCATGCACATAAACACTGGCAGGATTAGGGACCTAGTCTCCTTTTCCTCAGTTCTCCCTTTCTTCTGCTCTCGGATCCAATCATGCTTATTAGCTTCCCATCAATTTGGCTGTTAGTAAAATGGCTGTTTGCCGGATCTGCCATTCCTTATACCCAATATTCCTGGTCTCCTTCTGAGTGCACCAATTTCACATTCTTCTGCAAAGCTCTAGGAGACCCTTTTCATTAGTTACTATTATTTGTATCGTGCTAGCACCTAGGGACTTCATTCACAGACAAGGACCCTATTGTACCAGGCGCTGTACAAATACAGAACACAAAGGCAATCCTGCCCCGACGAACTTAGTCAAAGTATTTCTGGAAACCCAGTGATCAGCATTGTAGGGTTTATTTTAGTGGTCCCCATCCTATGTCTTGCTTAGTTTTACAACTGTCCTCTTAAGAAACAGATGTTTTCCCATTGTTTTAAGGACCCCCTACATCCCTATTTAGCCACACTGGCCTCTCTTGCCCTTTTCCCCTGTTTACACAGGATGAATTTCAACCAGTCTCTCCAACTATTTCCTACTGTGCTATAGGACATTTCCCACCTCCATTCAGAGTGGTGACAAGCAATGAGCCATTCAGTACTGGAGGGCTAGCTCAGTGGTTTGAGCATTGGCCTGTTAAACCCAGGGGTGTGAGTTCAATCCTTGAGGGGCCCACTTGGTCCTGCTAGTGAAGGAAGGGGGCTGGACTTGATGACCTTTCAGTCCCTTCCAGTTCTATGAGATAGGCATATATTATATTAAACTCCTCTTCCTGCTATTTTCAGTGTGCGCTCTTTACCCTCCTCCTTTTTTAAGAGGGTAAGAGTCATCTCCATCTCCTCTCTCTTCTCCTCCTCACCCCTCCCCTCCCAAATAACATCTGAGACCTTTTTGCTGGATACAGGAAATCTAAGAATGCATAGTAAGAACAAACAAATTCATGCATATCATCAATGGAGCTAAATGATGGATTCAAATCTCAAGGAAAGCATCACTTCTTCATATTTTTCTCCTCTTCAGCAATTTCTTATTTTTATTTATTTTTCCTCTCTTCATGCATTTGTCTTCAATGCAAAAGGTCATTCATGCTATTTTTATGGCGATTCTGTTGGGGCCATTGTGTATGTCGGTTCTGGATTATCGTATCTCACACACACATATGCCCCAATTTGTTATTTAATATTAGTTCATACAACTTAGGCTGGCTCATCTTGATTTACTTCAGTTTTTAGATCATCATGCACGGCACATTATTTAATCGGATAAGTTATTTAAAAGAACAAAAACACTAGGGCCATCCACATCACCCAAATGCCGCAATGTGATGGCTGTGCTTTTCTATGCTACAGATGTTCAGCGTCATGCTCTATAGAAAGATATGGAGGCAAGCAAGCCAGATCAGAAGTGATCCCATGAACATCTGGCTGACTGGATGCACTACTATGCTATAAAAGACACTGCCAGTGTTGTTTACAGTACCTGCCTTAGTTTTTTGATTGAGTTCATTATGCAAGGCGGTGAGAACAGCTGCAGAAGAAGGGATAATGTTTCATTCTACACACAGTCACTTAACAATAACATTGCTCATACAGTTAAAACAAAAGATCCTTAGCTACAGAGGTTAGTTTAAATGTGGTAAAGATGTACATATAAAAGCTCATTAGAAATTAGCTTTTTCTGCAATCACTCCTACTTGCTAAACAGGATTTTGTTATAGAAGTAACCTATGGTTCCCCTAGTACAACATAGATTACTCTGATCCTTTGTCTCACTGACTGTAAAGGTTTTTCAAAAGAGACAAGTTACTTAGGGCATGGATCCAAAGCCCAATGAAGTCACTGGAAAAACTCAAATTGATGTCAGTGGGCTTTGGATCAGGCTCTTATTGCATCATGATTATTATAAATGGTGGTGTATGTGACCCACCAAGAAACAAAATCCAAAAGCATTCGTTATGCATGTCCATTATTTTGCCAATTAATCATGGCTTCAAGTTTCTCTTTCCAGGAGCATTCATGCGGAGACTAATTATTTCCTCTCCTAAAAATCTACAGTGCATATTCATTGGCTAATTTAGCAGTCATAAAAGACCAGGTGTGGTTTAGTTTTAAAAAACACGCACATACACACGTGCTCAGAGATAGGAGCAACTTCTTTCCATCCTAAAAGCAAAGTGCAGTGAAGCAAAATTGGTCTTCAGGACAAGTCATTCCGTACTAGTCGTTGCCAAACTTAATCTATGCCACAAAACTACTCATGCAAATGAAGGCTTCCTCCAATACCTGTATTAAGTTTGCACCATGAAAATTATGGGTGAAATCTGGCT